GAGTTTGAGACCCCTGCCTTAGAGAGTTTTCCTCTAAACTGTTGCATGAACATATAATTATGATTCTGTTTAGCAAACTAAAACTTGAATTCTCTTGTGTTTCAGGGTCCTGGTGTTTCTCATCCTTATGATAGTGGGCACATAGCAATGACTTATACTGGTCTCTGCTGCTTAGTTATTCTTGGCGATGACTTGAGCCGAGTAAATAAAGAAGCCTGCTTGGCAGGACTCAGAGCGCTCCAGCTGGAAGATGGGAGGTACAGTGAATTCTGTGTTACAGGATGCTGAATATTTTTAGTAAGGAAAAACTGGGTCAAAATACATAATGCACTGTACTGTCAAGTAGGAGTGACCAGGCTGAATCCAGCCTGAGGAAGGATAAGACTGCAGCCAAGCAAGAAGAGGGAACTTCCTCTTGCTTCTATGCATTTACTCTCTTCTCTCTAGGGAAGAGAGAATGGGGCATGCCAGCAAGGGGGTTATTTTTCTTTGTCCTTTCCTCATTTTATGTAACACAAAAGGGAAAAGGTAGACTTGCACTCATACATTTAATGATCCTAATTGGGTATTTGAAAGTCCAGTTTTTACAGATCAGGTACTGTTTCCTTGCTTTTCTGCACTACCAGGCAGCTAGTCAAAAGAGGGAACTTGAAGGTTTCTGTATGCAAAAACTGAATTTGGAGAAGTAGCAGATAAAAATGTAGAGTCAGTGAGTCAATAGACTTGCAGATTCAAGAGGGGAAGAAAGTTATTCTGTAGTATGCTGAATGACTTTAGTTCCTTGATCACAGTAACTTATTAAATACTTTATTTTACTGATCTTCAGAACCTCTTGGTATACTTCCCTTGATTCTCAAATGCTTGTTTTGCCATTGCAGTGTGCTTTGTGAAGTCACTATTCTTGTTCCCATTTACCCACAGACATGGCTGTGATCTTTTTGCTTTGCCTTTCACACTCTTAGTGCCTTATTCCATTGCTCAGATTAGTGTCTTCATCATTCATCTCTCCATCACATTAAGTACTTTCACAGGGAACATACTTTATTTAGGAAAATTGAATCTCCTGTGTATGGCTGCAGTTACAGAAAGGCTTACATTTAACAGTTTTTATTCATCCATACTCAATGCCTGAACAATATTCCAGTTCCCATGCTTTCTGGAATGCAGGTACTTTATAATTGGTGGGGAAATACCTACTATTCAGAGTTACCTCACTGTCTCTGAAAAAATGTTATTTCTTTTATTAGTACCTTTTTAAAGTGTGAGTATAGAAAGATTTAAATTATAAAGTTACCCTTCCATTTGAAATAAATGTTTTATATAGGAGAAAGCGACACAACTCACAGTTTTGGAATCCCTTTTTTCAGCTTTTGTTGGTGATTGAAAAAAACAATTGTATAATTTATCTTCATCTTGTTCTATCACTAAAGGTCATTATTTACAAGTGCTTTCTGAAATGCATATATCTTAAGTCCTATACTGGTGAATCAGAGAAATGTGAAGTTAAATATATGTTATTTAACTAAAATAGTTTCCTGCTGTATGGCCTTTTAAATAGCCTTGTAGTTACGTTACTTTATTTTATTTTATTTTATTTTATTTTATTTTATTTTATTTTATTTGTAGCTCTGGTACTTGTACATATACTGGATTTTTTCATTCTATACATAATAAATTATTATGACTAGCATGGAGGCAGGGAGCTTTATTAGCATATTTTAAAGTTAACTGATCAGTTTGTTGGTACATGAGCACAATTTGACTAAAAGCCACTTTCCTCTGCAAAAAGGTCAAATTAGAAGACCAGTTTATAAAGCAAACATGATTTCAGAGGAAACTTTGAGTGCAGAGTCATAGGATAGTTCCACTTCCCAGCTTTGAAGTCAGAGACAGAGCTATGGGTCACAACTATGACCCCTTCTCCCTAACAGTCAGCAGAGAAAGAAGTACATTGGCTCTTTTCTTAAGAGATCTTGGAAAATGGGAAAAGTGGTCATGGGGGGAGGGGGTCAGAAGACAGTGGCCAGAAGCTCCTTTAACCTACTTCCTTCTCTCTCCAAAACATTGGTGCTAGATGGCTGAATATGGCCATCTAGCAAAAAGGCCAGCAGGAGGGTAGGGAGGCAAACATGGGCTGTGCTGACTCCTTCTCTGCAGTGGAGGAGTGTGAACTTCAGAGTTTAGAGGCTTATGCTCAGCACCATTGCATTGGGCTCTGAAATGCTTTCCATTTCACATCCTAATCACAGAATGAATGCCTTGTATTGATTTGAATGGTCTGTCACTACTTCATTTATATGAATTTATGGTTGTTTGTATGTCCTTGAGTATAATATTTCTTCGTCGTGGCCTCTGTGCATCACACATATGGGTTGCTGCGCCTGCACAGTGCCTAGGCTGGAAGATTAGAAAGCTAACGGTTTTTGGTGGGAAAACTCTGCTCCCCTCCCCCTTCGTGGTATAAATAGAGTGGAGTGTCCGCCATTTTACTCAGTCTTTGCGACCGCCCTTCGCTGTGCCTCGTGCCTGTTCATCTCTTCTCTCTATATATAAAACAAAAACAAAAAACAAAAATAATATCTTACCCTCTATACTGTCCTCTTTTCTTCATTTTTCCGCGATGGCGCAGTGGGCGGCATTCTGCAAATGTATTGAATGTGGATCTAAAATGTCGCCGGCCGATCCACATGATCTATGCCGCCTCTGCCTCGGCGAGGGGCATAGGACCGACAAGTGCGGTCATTGCTTGGCGTTTACCAAGCAGGCACGGAAAAATAGGGAGAATCGTCTCAGAAAGCTCCTATGGGATCAGGCATTAATACAGTCTGACCAACTGCTCCTACGGCCTGGTTCCTCTTAGTCCGTGCCTCCTCAGCGCTCTTCCTCCACCGTGAGTGCTCTGGCAAAGAGTCCTTCCTCAACCTCTGCCGATCCTCCACAGCGTCCTTCGGATGAAGGCGCCGCTTCTATGGAGGCTCAGTCACTGCCTTCTCCCCCGGCTAAGAAACGGGAGAAGTGCAAGCATACCGGTCTGGATAAACCTTCCACCCATAAGAAGTTGAGGAAGGAGAAGGTGGATAAGCCCGCTCGCAAGAGCAAGAACCTGATCGCCCAAAACACCGAGGCTCAGGTTCATTGGGCTTTTCGGTACCGACGGCCGCCACGGTACCGACCCCCTCGGGACCGGCCCTGCAACTTGTTATGCAGGTGACTCCACTGGGATCCCCCAGGCCATCCACTCGGCCTGAGAGCGTGCCTCCGCAGCAACAGGAGGAGCCGCTTCGAGAGTCCATCTCTGATGGCAAGATCAGAGACTCCCTGCCGAGGGACCGCTCGCCAGCACCTATGCACCGACTGAACCTCATGTGGCCTCACCATTACCTCCCAGATGTCGCAGCCTTTCATCCAGACATCGAGATGAGAGTTGGTTGATCCCGGGATATGGTGCTCCCCCCGGCTGGGGTGGTTACCAGCCATATCCCTATTTTCCTCGGGATCATAGATCACCATTGGTCCCGAGGGATGTACCATCCACCTCCAGGCGTATGGAGACGAGGCGCCCAACCTCCCCTGAAACCTCCTCCTCCTCAAGCGAAAACCGGCCGCGTTACATGGAAGACTCCGAGGATTTGGAGGTCAACTCCACATCCCCTGATGTGGCTGTTGCGTACCAAGAGCCTGCTTCACCCGATGAACCGCATGTCTCTTTCACAGAGCTCATGTCCCGCTTAGTTCGTTCGCTTGAAATCGAAGCTCATCAACAGCCAGGCCCCTCCACAGATCGCTTCTATGACGTCGTTCGGGGAGAGCAGTCCGCATCCATAGCTCTGCCGCTTATAACTGCACTCCGCCAGGCTATGGTCCAGCCCTGGGACCAATCGGACCAACCACAAACTACCTCCCGCAGATATGAGGCCACGTATAGAGTTCGTGATGATGACTTTCCCTTGCTGCTCCGTCACCCGAAACCGAACTCTCTTGTGGTTGAATCCTCCCAGGGCAGGGAGTCCAGGGGACATACCGTATGCTCCTCAGGACAAGGAAGGGAGGAAAATCTATATGCTTGTGCGCCGAGTCTATGCGGCCTCTGGACTCGGCGTGCGCATATCGAACTACGAAGTGACACTGGCACGTTACCAGTACTTTATCATGCAGAAGCTGGATAACGTCGCTTCCTCCCTTCCAAGACCACCAAGCGGACCTTGCTAGGGTTTTCATTAAGGAGGCAATGCAGGTGGCGGTGCAACAGTTGTCTACCGCTCGTCGTCATGTAGACACCGATTCAAGGGCCCTAGTCAATGCCATCTCATTACGCCGACATGTGTGGCTGTGCAATTGTAATTTCCCCGATGAGATGAAGCGCAGAATCGAGGAAATGCACTTGACATTACCGGTCTGTTCCACCAGAAGACTGACTGAAAATGAAAGGCGATTCACGAATCACGCCTAACTGCACGCCGCATGGAGCTCCTGCAAAAACGTAAGTGGCAGTGGCCTCAGTCTTCCTACTGGAACCAACCATACTATCCACGCCAGCAAAACTACCCTCGCCAGCAATATCAACAATGGCAGCGTCGGAGACAGCAAACACAACAGCGTTTTTCCCAAGGCCGTTGGCGATTCGATACCGGTAAACACGCACGTTGACGGCTTGGGCGAACCATCCTCTCTTTCCCAACACCACCTTCCCTTCTCCCTTTTGGGGACCGGCTCCAGGGCCGACTCCCCATTTGGGAGTCCATTACATCTGATAGGTGGGTGTTATCATCCAGTTCGGATATAGGATAGAATTCTATGTTATCCCTCCTTCGAACCCGATCTGCTTCACACCTTCTTCATCGGTGCTACGCGATGAGGTCTCCCAGCTACTTCTCAAGGGAGCGATTCGACAATTGTCCTGCTCGGAAGGATTGTATGGATTCTGTTCCAGATATTTTACGGTCCCGAAAAGGGACGGTGGTCTTAGTCCGATCCTGGACTTACGAACTCTTAATAAGTACATCAAACCAAGGAAGTTCCGGATGACCACTTTGCAAAATATCCTTCCGTTATTGAAAAGAGAGGATTGGTTCGCCTCACTGGATTTAAAGGATGCTTATTTTCATATTTCCATCCATCCTTCGCACAGACGCTTTCTAAGTTTTACTGTCGGATCCGACCTGTTCGAGTTTAACGTCCTACCCTTTGGCTTGGCCACAGCCCCTCGAGTCTTTACAAAGTGTATGACACCGGTATACGCACACTTGAGGACACGGGGAATACAGATATACCCATACTTAGACAACTGGCTAATCGTCTCGCAATCCGAGCAAGCTCTCCTGTCTGATATACAAATGACCTGCGCTCTACTTGATGCTCTCGGTCTCTGCATTAACCGCGACAAATCGTCCCTTATTCCCACGCAGGTCATCGATTTCATCGGGGCAAGACTCGACTCGACGCAGGAAAAAGCTTTTCTCCCACCGGAATGTCAGAATGCCTTATGCAGCCGTATTCATTGGATTCGGCTACACGGAACGGTCCCAGCCTTATCCGTTCAGAGACTACTGGGGCATATGGCTGCTGCAGTTGCCATTGTCCCGTATGCCAGACTACATATGCGACCCATACAACTGTTTTTCAATGCTGCTTTTCAACCGCAACAAGATCCTGCCACCAAGCCGATTCGGATTCTGTCTGCAATCCTTTACACTTTAATGTGGTGGACCATCACAGACAACCTGTTGATTGGCACCCCGTTTCGACTACCTCAGCCAACGACAACTCTGTACACTGACGCATCCCTCCTTGGATGGGGTGCGGCATGTTCGGGACTTCGGGTCCAAGGTACTTGGAACCGACGAGAGGCAAGGAAACGTGTCAACTTCCTGGAACTTCTGGCGATTTTCAACGCCCTCAAGGCTTTTGAGACTGTGTTATGCCGTCACGTTGTCCAAATTGCATCAGACAACATAGCGGCAGTTTTCTACATCAGCAAGCAGGGGGACACAAATCCCCAGCCTTAGCACGCCTATCGATGGACATTTGGGACTGGTGCATACTGAGGAACATCGTGCTTATGGCAGTTCACCTGGCTGGAACCGACAATGTCGAAGCAGATACATTAAGCAGACAGATGTCAACAACCCACGAATGGGAGTTGGACAAACAAATTTGCAAGAAACTCTTCCGCTCGTGGGGTTATTCGGACGTGGACCTGTTCGCCACTCGAGAGAACAGCCTGTGTGCCCTATACTGTTCCAGAGCGGGCGTCAGGCCGGGATCGATGGGGGACGCTCTTATGGTCCCTTGGAGCAACATGACTTTTTATGTGTTTCCCCCGATCCCACTCCTGACAAGAGTGGTTGCAAAAATAGCCCAGGATGATGCCACGGGGATACTAGTGACTCCATGGTGGCCGAGACAACCATGGTTTGCCACTCTTTTGCTGGTGTCCAGAGGAACGTTCCTTCATCTACCAACTCTTCCGCATGTGTTAACACAACAAGGAGGAGCAATCCATCATCCGGATATACTCTATCTGAAGCTGATGGCATGGCGGATCACCTAATTCACGCCACTGAGTTGGTACTGGGGACACCTCACCCTACGGGTGACCTTACTCAACAGACGGTATATGCGGCCCCGACTTCGGATTCGACAGCAACTGCCATGGTACCGATGCCTACGGACAGAGAAATTCCAGCGATTCTCGAATTTGCATTGAGACAGTCCACTCGTTGTTCCTATACGGCTAAATGGAGAAGATTCTCCTCTTTTGCAGAGTGCCATTCTTTTTCCCCTGGAACGGCTTCAGTCACCAATATTCTACAATTTCTCTTGCATTTGCATCATGAGGGACTTAAACCATCATCCATCAAAGTTTATGCAGCTGCTATGTCTCATTATTGTGGCACTATCCACAGATTATCAGTCTTCTCTCAACCACTGGTTCGGCGTTTCATTAAGGGACTACAAAATTTACATCCGTCTGTTTGCCCTGCCATGCCAACGTGGAGTCTTTCTGTAGTGCTCCAAGCGCTTACTAAACCACTGTTCGAGCCTTTAGCAACTGTGGACTTACGCCTGGTGTTATGGAAAACTGCCTTTTTCGTAGCTCTCGTAGCACGGAGAGCTAGCGAAATTTGTGCTCTCCGCATAGACCCACCATTTCTGAACTTCCATAAGGAAAAAGTCGTCCTTCGGATGGATTTCTCCTTTTTACCCAAGGTGGCCACACCGTTCCACCTGAATCAGGACATTGTTCTGCCAGCATTCTTTCCATCGCTGTCAACCCCGATAGAACGTGCTCTACACATGCTGTTCGCCGCTGCTTGGCCTTTTACAGATCCCTCACTGAATCTTTTCGTACTACTAATAGACTTTTTGTTAAATACTCCGAGCATGAAAAGGGATCACCGATATCATCTCAGAGACTCTCTAATTGGATCGTCCAGACTATTGTCCTGGCTTATCAGCTATCGAAAATAGATCTACCTGTCTTTCCAAGTGGCCACTATACACGAGCAGTAGCGACCTCATCCGCTTTTGCCGCAGGGGTTTCGCTGCAAGACATCTGCAGAGCTGCGATCTGAGCTGGTCCATGTACTTTTGCCAAGCACTATCGGCTTGATGTACGTGCCAGACAAGACTGCTCTTTTGGTAGAGCTGTTCTCTCATCTGTTCTTTGCCGACGACACCTCCCTCCTCTGACTGTGGTAAGCTTGTAAATCACCCATATGTGTGATGCACAGAGGTCAAGACGAAGAAAAGCAGGTTGCTTACCTGTAACTGATGTTCTTCGAGTGGCCATCTGTGCATTCACACAACCCACCCGCCGGCCCCACTCGGTGTCGGTGAGTGGATATCGTTTTTCTCAGTACCATACTATAATTTGCATTGGTACCGTTTGGGTTATGTCGCTGTGTGGTTATTGTTTTCGGTACCGAAATATAATTTGCATCGGTACCGTTGGGTTATATCGCTGACTAGATATTGTTCTCGGTACCGTACTATAATTCACATCGGAACCGTTCAGATATAATTGTGTTTTCTCATTACTTTTATTCTTAACCTCTAGAGGGCGAACGTGCGGTCTTCAAGTCTGAGTAAAATGGCAGACGCTCCGCTCTATTTATACTATGAAGGGGGAGGGGAGCGGAGTTTTCCCACCAAAAACCATTAGCTTTCTAACCTTCCGGCCTAGGCACTGCGCAGGCGCAGCAACCCATATGTGTGAATGCACAGATGGCCACTCGAAGAACATCAATTACAGGTAAGCAACCTGCTTTTCTCTTCATTCATTAGACTTGAGAACAGTGGAAGCCAAAATGTGTTGCCCTTCCTAACTTGCTGTTTGAGAAAGACTTTACATACCATGCCTCTAAGAATAGGACATTGCATAATTTAATGTAAATACTAGCTAACTGTAAAGCTTGTCACAAATACAGTATGTGTCAGCCTAGAAGAAGGGATTGCCTAAGAAAGAATAATGGTATACGAGAGAGAAGAGGGTGATGAAGAGAAAGGAACTGTGTGCCCTTAAGAAACAAACAGATGGCACCTAAGAGTCATGAAAATACACAGGCATCAAAAGCATGCTTGAAGCACAGTGGTGGGAGGAAGGATTTTCCCAGATGCTGTTGATTGAATAGGTGTTTGCAGTTGCAGAGTGAGTGCTTTTGAATTTACCACTCCAACTGTGAACTTTTAATAGTATCTGATACATACTTTGAGAGAGACTTTTGGCAGATTTAATCAAAATTGTAAAACAAAGTTGTAAAAAGACACTGTAACATTCTTAATTGCTTAACCAGAAAATCTAAGATGAGTGTTGGGTATTAAAGTGTTGAGATATTTACATATTTTTAGATATGCTTATTGACGCATGAGAAGTATATTCATGAGTTGTGTTATTCTTGAATGAAGTTTATTGAAGATAATAGTTGCCATTTAACATGGTAAGTTACAGCTAAAATTCTACTGAGGCTAACACTAATTACTGGAGAGAAATAGCTGTATGAAAAAGTCTCATGTAAATTGCTACAGTAATTCATCTGTAGCGATGTGAAGCAGCAGCAAATAGAAGGATGCCCACAATATCTTCTATTAAATATTAATAAAAGCAGCCAGGCATTCATCTTGAAACTATATGATCCTCTACTTGATTTATTTTCATATCATATGTCCCTCAGCACCATTGGCAGAAAGGCAGGATTTAAAATAAAAATGTAGAATATTAAAGGTATAATTAATAATTCTGTATGCTTGAAGGAATTCTGTCGTAGTGCCGTGACAATTGTGTGTAAACACTGACTTATAACAGTACTGGGGCAAGTTGTTATACTGTCACTTCAGTTGAAGACATTGCTGACAGAATCCAGAGTGTAGAAGGTATTTTCTAGGGCCTTTTCAAAAGGCATGTAGCTAAGATGTGCATGAATATATTCCCTCCTTTGTGGGAAAAGGATGAAAGAAGTTGAGACTATCATGTTCAGTGTGTTAACAATTCTCTTTGTACTTTAGGAAGACTGTTCATCTGTAGTTCATTATCTTTTCTCTTCAGCTGGTGGAGGCCTGGAAGCTTCTTTTCCCATTGACCCCATTTTCATGCTAGGAAGCACTAGAGGTTGCTAATGAAGCAAGCCATGGAAGGAGCATTCTTTTAGCCCCAAACAGTCCCAGAGCTAAGGATAGTATGCATCTACTGGGTTTATAGTGGTTAGAGCAGGCACAGGTTCTGTGATCATAAGAAAAGATTCTCCCCTTAGAAAATAATTGTATAATTTCCCCATAAAAATGAATCATTTGAATTAAATAATTAATTGTCCAGAAAAGTAAAATAGGTAATTTGAGATTCAGTGTAACATGATGGTAATTATTGCATAACTTCAATATTTGTTTCAGCTTTTGTGCAGTCCTTGAAGGAAGTGAAAATGACATGAGATTCATATACTGTTCTGCTTGCATATGCTACATGCTCAACAATTGGTCAGGAATGGATATGAAGAAAGCCATAGACTATATTAGAAGAAGCATGGTGAGTTTTGCTAAGCATCATCTTACACATTTGCTCAAAAACATAATAAGAAAAGCAGTTAAAACACGTTAATTTTTAGTTTGATAATTTCAGTTATATACATTTTATATAGGCTTATGCATTTAGTTATATACACGCAGGTGTATAGTTAAATGTGCATTGTTAAATTAATCTTTCAGTAATAACTTTACACTGTTAATTTACACTGTTAATTAACACTGTTAATACATTGTATTTCCAGCTGGAGTAATTTCAGGGTTCCAGTGGTTAAATGTTTTTTTTTTTTTTTTGCCAGCAAGTTGGATCTTTTAAAAGCCATTATTAAAGTAGTGATTGTAGAAACATAATCTTGAAAATCTTAGAAAACAGTTGGGATATGCTAGGGCCTGGCTGGTGAACTGGAGTTGGCCAGGGAAAATGCATAGTTTTTCTCACTGCTGTGTACTCCTTATCACAGTTCTAAAATTGTATTCTTTCTCCTTTCCCAGCTTCATGTTATGAAGGTTAGCAGCAGTTGTATGTATAGCTGAACCTGGGTGGATGCAAATGCATAAGGGAGAAATGTATCTATTTTTAAGTAAAATTAAATTGACAAATTACTGAATGATCAGTCACCACCAATTGTTCCCATGTGTCTTACAAACATAAGAAAAGCCATGCTTAGTTAGGCCAATGATCCATCCAGTCCAGCACTCTGTTCACATAGTGGAAAATCAGCTGCCAGTAGGATCCCACAAGCAGGATGGGTTGAAGAGTTTTTTCTGCCCAAGCTTCTCAGCAACTGGTGTGTGCAGGCATACTGCCTCTGATAACAGAGGCAGTACATAGCCAGCAAGGCTGGTGGCCATTGAAAACGACCCCTTCCATGAATTGGTCCAGTTCCCTTTTAAATCCATCCAAATTGGTGGCCATGACTACTTCCTGTGACAGAAATTTTATAGTTTAATTATCTCTTGCGTGAAGAAGTACTTCCTTTTATCTGTCCTGAATTTTCCATCAATCAGCTTCATGGGATGACCCCAGGTTTTGGGAGAAAAATGTCTCCCTCTCCATGTTCTTCACACCATGCATAGATTTAAACACCTTTATCATGCCTTCCCTTGCTCACCTTTTTTCTAAGCTAAATAGTCCCTGTTGTAGTAGCGGCTAATCATAGAAGAGTTTCTCCAGGACCATGATCATTTTACTTGCCTTTCTCTACACTTTTTCCAGATGATTACTATCCTTCATTAGGTGCAGTGACCAGAACTGTATACATTATTCTAAGTGTGGTTCTAGCCAAGATTTCATTAATAACGATTTGGTGGTTTTATTTTCAATTTCTTCCTTAATTGTGCTTAACATGAAGTGTGCCCCTTTTTAGAGTAGGTGTGCATTGGGTCAGTATTTTCGTTGAGCTGTCCATCACAATCCCAAGATCCCTTTCTTGATCAGTCACTGTTAGTTCAGATCCCATCAGTCTATACTTGAAGTTGGGAGTTTTTGCTTCAACATGCATTATGCACTTGTCATTGTTGGACTCCATGCTTGTCCCATGCTTTTCCTCTATCCTGAACCCCATTGCACTTGAAATGTGCAATTACCACTTGATAAGCAGTGTCTTGGGCGAAAATGATTATGATATACTTCAGTTTAAAAGCTGAAATATGTGTTAACTTGCTAGAGAAGCTTTTTGGAAGATTAAAAATACCATTAATAAGGGAAAACATAACAAATACCTTTTGTGAACTCTTTGTACAAAGTAGTACAGTTTGCTCTAATATAATATTTGTATACAGTCAGAGCTAGATGTTTTGCAGAAAGCAGGTGTTTTCAGCCCTAGGTTCTTTCCAACATGAAAAGTTGAGGCAATGAGGCATTTGCATGCGAGAAATGGCAGGTATGGGCAGTAGGCTTAACCCTTTTCTTACTCACTGTTTCTCCATTACAATCTATTCTTTGCTTCCCTCCCAGTCGAGTTTTCCACGTGCATTTCCCAGGCAAGTGGAAAAAATCTACTTGGAAGAGAAGGGTTAGGAGAAAAGCACCCTTTCATATGGCCCATCCCTGCTTTGTACATCACTGTCAAGCATATGATTGGAATCATGTTCGCTGAACATCAATTTTGCCCTGATTTGCAATGTATGTTAGTACTGTGATTAGCTAATTGAGTGAACAATCTGTTATCAAAGATTACAGTTTACCCCTTTCTGGATTGCTGGATTCCATTACAGTAGCATCAATACCAGGACTACTTCAGTGAAATGTTTACTCTATAGCTGATACTCTTGCAGCAAAACGATTCTATACTAATGTAAAGAACAATTATTCTTGTTACTGAGCTGGTACGATCATACTTTTGCTGCACCAAGTATGAAAATAGCAGTTTTCTTACAACTAGAAATTTTCTCAGAAAGGATGCTGTGGATAATGTCAGTACTGTTTCTGCTTATCTAAAGTTTCTGTATGTCATTGGCAGTGCAAACTAAATATAGCACTGATGCAAATTACTGAGGTGGTTTCCTCCAGTTCTAGGTTATGCCAGTATTATCTCCTTCAGCTCAGGCAAAATAGATGGCATTATTAGAAAGGGGTTATACATAGGTTTGGCCTTTTTTTACTGTATCTTATGCAAAAAAGTGAGGCTGGTTCGACCTTATAAACATCTTTTTTCTGCAATGCAAATTCATTTGCTCTTGATGTAATGTGGTTAGGCAGCAACTATTTTGGGCAGTCAAATATTCAAATTGTTATTTTCATAGGCTGTGTCCAAGACTGCTCTTTCATGAGTACAAGGCAGTTCTGCTTATGCAAGTTGCCTCTTCCACAGATTTGTTGATATTTCCCTTATCCCTTCTCAGCTGCAGCTCCCTACTCCATGTGTTAGGCGCAGCTGCTCTGAAAGCTGCAGTGAGAAGAAGAGGATGTGAAAACCCTTTTGTATGAGTGTGTTCTGCTCACAAATCTTCTGGTCCAAACTGAAGTACAACAGCATTTAAATAGTAATAAAACTCTATATATTTCAAGGTGTTTGTTCTTGTAAGTGTATTCTTACAAAGTTTTGATTAAAACTGGATTTAAAACCATTCCTAACCAGAACAATGCAGATCAAATGGAGTCACACAGCAAGTGCTTGGAAAAGGTGGTTTCCTCTACATTACCGAGGCAGGTCTCAATCTTTCTACTATGGTAAACACCACCTTTTCCAAGCACTTGCTGTGTGACTGCATTAGATCTGCAGTTGCTAGCCAGGGAGCTTATAAAGACATTTTGCTTATTTGTAGCAGGAAATATACGGCTATTCTTTCTGAGTTAAAAGAATGCTATGTACTTCTGAAAATCTTCTTTGTGAAGACCTTCACTGATCACCTTCCAAGCATTCAGTATTAGCTTTGCTCCTCCTTTTTCATAAGTATTAGGGTTTTTTTTAACCTTCAAGGTGTGAACTTTGAGACATCTTCACATGGCTTCCTTGTTAAGTATACTGTGTTATGTATATCTCCCTGTCAAAGTTTCCAAAATAAGGTGACTGTTGTTTAATAATCTATGTGAAAGCATTTGTCTTGATTTGCATGAAGGTAAAAATGGTAAGTAGGCACAAATTGCTTTTGTGATACTGGAGGTTTTACTTCCATTGAAATTATTTGGTTCCTAGCAGGGGAATGATTCTCCTAATGTGTACACCAAGAAGTTAAGAAAGCCTATGTGCAGCAATCTTTCTTTGACTGCCCAGCATCTTTTCCCATTGAGAAGATGATGTGTGGCCATCTTTCCCTAACCATTGTAACCATTTGCCTCATAGTCAGTGTCTGGGACTGAGACCGTGGCGGAGGAGCGTTTTGCTAGCTACTGGCTCAGTTGACTAGCTTAACCCACATAGTGGTGGGGAAGATGCCATGGGGATGAGTCCCCCACTTGTATCCCCTGTTGTTACCTCTCACCACAGATAACAGTGGGAATTCTTCCAAGGACAAGGCTGGCTACAAAGCTGTACCAACAGAAGACTCCTGGAAGGCTTCATGGGCATTCATTCACAGTGTCTCCCTAAGCTGGAGGTGACTTAATGGCATGTAACAACAACAAAAAGGAACCAGTAATAATTAGTCATTTTCTACTTTTACTTACAAGTAGGGATGTACTGAAATAGGAAAATCTGGCTTGCTTGAGTTTGACGGATTTCTGTACTGCTTTCAGTCTAATGATTAGAAGAGAGCTGAATGAAGGGGGTTTTTTTGGAGTTACATTTCTAAAACAGATTCTGATTTGCATGTTAAAAGAAAAGCTGGTAATGAAATTTTCACAAATGGGCATCTAAAAACCAGTGAAATTTGTGCAAAATCAGCTGATTCTGTCCAAGTGACACCAGTGTATGTAGCGTGTGGGGGTGTGGGGGGGGGAGGGGCTTATTTGCAAATTTCATTAGCATTCTTAATCCCAGGCTGTTTTAAAGAAAGAAGTCTACAGATTGGCTCAACTCACATCTTGGCTAGTCATTGCCAGTGCAGAACTAGTGAACCATAATTAGGGTATGAGTGAGCTAAATCATGAAAATCCATTGGATTTTCATCCCTTTACCTGATTCTTCACACATTCCTACTTCATGTCCTAGATTTTGAAGGTTCCTTTTGTATTCTGGCATAAATATGTAATTTTTCACTGAACTCTACCCCAATAAGCCAGCTTCAGAGGGCACTAGCAATAGCTTAGCTTTATATTTTCTGTTAGTGTGGGAACACTTCCAGATCATTAGCTCATGACAACAACATCATTATCATCCTTTTATACTGCCCCTTAGCTCATTGTGCTGTCTGGGCTGTTTACAGATTTAAAAATATACAGAGGAACAACAAAACAAAAAACAAAATAAAAATAGAATGTCTGGCGGTCGCAGCAGTGATGACAGACCAGTGCATATTTTATAGACTGCCACACATGTTGAGCCCCTCAAAAGGTCCTTCAGTTGGGGCAGGTGTGGCGTGGCCCCTCTCCCTCTCCCCCTGGCCTTATCTACTCTCACCAGGGAGCATGGAGGGAGTCTGCAGTGACCAGTGGTGAGGAAACAGTGGCTGTGGTGGTGACAATGACAGACCATCTAGCATCAAGCCCTCGAAAGTTCCCGCAATGGGAGGCCCTGCCTCCTCCGGTAGAACAGGGGGCAGGTGTGGCATGGCACTGCTCCCTCTCCCACCAGCTCCATCTGTTTCATGAGAGGGTGTGGGGAAAGTCTGTGATCTGGCCATGTGGGGGGCAATGACAGCCCCAGTCATGGGGAATTGTGTACCTGTTGGATTTAGAAAAACAATAGTTATTCTTGTTTGTCATTTTAACACATGTGTTCAACACTTTTGTTTTTAATTTGCTGATTTGCTTAGTGTCATTTGGATATTTAAGCTTTAGCACTCTCATTTGATCCATTGAATTCTCCTTTATGCAACACTCTTATGTGCAGTGCTGGTCATTCCTTGGAGTAGAACAAAATAATTCAGTCTGCTCAGAATTTCCCAGTATTCTAGAAGGCTGTGCTTCATTATTCCATAGCTGTAGTCTAATCAGTGATTACAGAGATTTCCCTACAGATTCAGTGTTATCTATTATGGTTATTTAATTTGGCTATAAAATGCATTCTAACCAGACAAATGAAAAATGCTATTTATTGGACTTTTGACATTTCCTGTCTTGCATCAGCTGAGCATATGATTACATTAACCATTGAATTGTAGAAACTTGCACTTCCTCCTGTAAAAGAGCAAGTTATTGTAAAGGCAAGTATGACAACACATAGTCACAGCATGTAAATAAGCTAATATCAGATATGTAGTGTAGAATAATTCCCATAGCTAACTAGATTATTCAGGCCAGGTCTATCACACAGGTGGATTTTGTTCTACTTAGTTGATGCTCTGTTCTCATTATTTAGCAATATCTGATTATCTGCATATTGTGGATTGGATCCAGACTTGCCTTACCATGACTGAGAACTCTTCTGTTTTTGCAGAAGGGACTAAGACCCAGCTGAAACTTCAGCTGGAGGTAGTGAGGAGGCTATTTCTCCTAAATCCCCCCTGTAGCCCCACCACCAGCTGTTAGGGTGTTTGAGGTAGTTCCCTAATTCTCAAGCAGCTTTCCACAGGGTACAAGAGAATGCTGAATGGGCAAAAAGCCCCCCTCCCCATGAGTGTGTCTTATCAGCGGAATGGAACTCTGGGGACATAAGGATTCGGCAAGATCTGGATCATTCTAATTCAACCAATTTTTCCTTAAGGACGTTGCCCTTTATTCTTCCCTTTTCCACAGGTAGCAGTCACCTGTAAATAAGTGTGTTTGTGTGCAGTATGCATTTCATGCTGTATAATTAAAAAAGTGTTTCCAACAACATTCCTTTAAACAATCCTATATAGATAGTGTGAAAGTAGAGAGCAGTGTTAAGCAGGTTTCTGAATTTTGCTGTTACACAAAGTCTCACCAGGGAGCCCTGCCACCTTCTGCTTGTACACTCTTACTTTCCCCCCGCCCCAGGATTAGTGTTAAACATAAAAGACCATGGCAAATGTTGGTAAATATAGCCAGGTAGAGATTCTTGAAGAAATGGAAGCTGTAGTATTGGAAATAATGGGAAAATGGGCTTACTTTGAAAGGGATCAAATTTCACACTATATTGTAAATATGAAAGGAGGTAAATGCTGCTGAAACTGGCAAAAACTGTCAAATTTAGACGAATACCATATTCCTTAATTGAGCGTTCTACATTGCCTGGTGTGAGGTCTGTTATTGTGCAGAGTCTCCAACTTTGCACAGTTATAACATTGCTGTATTTTCAAGTCATTTCAATAGGTTTCCAGGTTTGGTAGGAGGCAGAAGAAAGATTGCCATTTCATCTACGCATATGCCAGAACTAGAGCAAAAAAGCAATAAGCTTACTCAATGGTTAACCAGCTAGAAAATCTCTCTTGAATTCCTGGTTCCTGCCAGTTCTCTGATAGGAATCAGGAATGGACAGATACAGCCTTCCCCCTTTAGAATTGAACTAGTTCTTTTTGTGCGTAAACACTCAAGGCCAAGCTTGCAATAGTTAATCAAGAGAACGTGAAACAATGATTTACTTCCAAAGTTTGGTAGCAAACAAATATGGAGAATTAACAGTGATGCATTCAATTTTCAAGCTAATTTTGTCACTTTGAAGGCCTCTTAGCAATCTACACAGCCAGCCCTTGCCTTACAGAGTGCACTGACAGGAATGAGAGCATTCATCCTGGTATTCCTGTTATGCTTTCAACTAAGTTAGCAGCATGTAACTAGCCAGGGCAAGTGGGAAAGGGAAGGTCATAGTTAAGTGACAATTGCTGATCCCGAAAGGAAATTAAATACACCCCAATAAATGATTTACTTGGCAGTGCCTTTTTGGAAGGCCTTAGAAAATAGATGGTCCAGTTAAATTAATCAAATCATGCAATTTCTACCAGTTAGATAATTTCTGTCATGAAGGGGCATGTCAAAATTTCATTAAAAAGAAATTATTTTGCAGTTGACTGCTTTAGAGAAATCTGGTAAAAAGGGCAATAAAGTATATGCAGGAAAATAGTGTTAACTGTATTAACATAAGTACAAAGGGTCTTTCAGTGGCATTCCAATCTTATGTATAGAAATGCCTCTGTGTAATTTAATTTGTGGGTTATGCTGTTACGTGATGCCAAAAATAAAGAGTAGTATTTCTGAGAAGATCCTTTTGAGCCCTCATTCTTTCTGGTTTCTGTGTGTAGAATATATATTTACATCTAACGTAAATCTAAGTATTGTTTTGCCTTACATATTTGGTTAAATTTGAAGTTGGTTTTGTATCTTCCCTTAGGCTGTTAAAGCTTAAGTTGAAAACAAATCAAGCCAAAGCAATGTAGCTTGATCCAATATTCTAACAAAATTGTTATACTTTAAAAGTTGCATTAATTTTTGCATTTCTTTTACTTTCTAGTCCTATGATAATGGGCTTGCTCAAGGAGCTGGACTTGAGTCTCATGGTATGAGTATTAGCCTTTGATACTAATTTTAAAGCAGTTGAGTTAAACAGTATACTTTTTCTATCCTTTGCTAACAGAATTGTATATTTTGAGAATCTCTAGTTGAGCTTGGCTTCAGAAGTTCTGACAACATTTAGATGTGGTGAATCTGGTGTTGAGAGTCCTCCTTTCATAGCAATAAGACTTTTACTGTTAACTCAAGAGTCTCAATTGCTCGTTTGTTACTGAGAAATGCAGCTTCCTCCCACATCTGGAGTTGTTACTTCTTAAGTCTTTTGCTTGCCAGAGCTGGCCATACAGTTTTAACTTCCACATGGGATTCTTGAATAGCAGCTGAATTTTCGGCTTAAAGTATTCTAGGTAATTGGAACTGTTTTTCGGAATGTTGAATTCCGTATAAGGGATATCCTGGGGCTCATTTTAAACAGTATTAACAGTGCTTAGATACAGTGATGAGCCCAAACCTCAGGGAAGGTGTGTGTATACATGGCCTGCAATAACATGGCCCAATCCTTTAACAAGATAGTGTTACAATTACAGGATAGGATAGTAATAACAGGAAAACAGTGGTTCTTTCCATCTTAACTCTTTTAAAGTGTTTGTTAAAGGATTTGTTAAGAACATGCTGGATCAGACCAAGACTTCATCAAGTCCAGTATTCTTTATACAATTGCTAACCAGCTGCCCATGTGACACCCTCAAGCAGGCATGAATGCAACAGTTCCCCAGCACTTGTGTATAGAGGCATACTATACTGCTTCTGATACTGAGGGTTGCACATAGCCATCAGAACTAGTAGCCATTGATGGCTATTGTTCAACGATCTTTTGGCATCCAAATGAGTGGAATAACAACTTCCTAGAATAACAATTAAATATTTGATCATTTGCTCACACAGGATGTAGTTAAACAGTGGAACTTGCTAGCATAAGATATGGTAATGGCTGTAAATTGGGACTACTGTTAAAGGATATTAGACAAATTCATGGACAATAAGATTATCTGTAGCTACTGTTCATGACGGCAGTATATTACCACCAGTATCATATACAGTGCCTTGTATATTTCCTACCCTTTGTCTTTTCCACATTTTGTCGGGATACCAGAGTCAAAATAAATAGGATTGTTACCGCATGTCCTGGGGAGGTGCAAAATATTTTTATTGTGGTAAAGAAATTGCTGGAGAACATGACCAAGAGAATGCTGCTTGACTCATGTTTTACTTCTGGGCTTTCGATATGCACCTGTTTGGCCATTGTGAACAGAATGCTGGATGAGGATTACAATTTATGCATCACTTCTCACTGCAAAATACTCATAGTGACTTACATGCACAAATAAAGAAATCTGTAACTAATAGAAAAAACCAAAAATGATATAAACCATAACAAGCACAATAATACCAATAAAAATAAACACCATAATGACATAAACTTAAAACCATCTAATACAAAAAGTGTTTATCCACTAGTACACAAAATCTCTCCTAGATTAGAATGAATGGCAGAAAAGCAGCCCATAATTGGGCCACAACTAAAGCCCAAATACATCTTTGTATTGGAAAAAATAGCAGTACCAGCACCAGGTCTTTGTTCTGATCCAGCTGGGCTGTTCTTATGTTTTTAGTGGGCCTTTTGCTTGAATCATTTTTGATGCCATTCTGTATATGTACTGTTCAGTTTAGCCTCTTTTGTCTTCCCAAATGAATGACTTCATACTCCTTTAGAGGAACTTCCATACTTCTTTAGAGACAGTAGTTTACATTAACCATGACTCCTCAGTAACTCCATGAAAAAGTACAAGTCATATTGAAGATACACTTCTCCCACTTTACAGGTGGCTCTACTTTCTGTGGTATTGCATCTCTGTGCCTAATGGGTAAACTTGAGGAAGTCTTCTCCAGGAAGGAGCTGGACAGGATAAGGAGATGGTGCATCATGAGGCAACAGAATGGCTATCATGGCCGACCAAACAAGCCTGTAGACACCTGCTACTCATTTTGGGTAGGAGCAACTCTCAAGGTAATTTAAAAGTAGAGGTAAGACACTATCATCCATAGTCTGCCCCTTGCATATCTCAGAGGTTGTCAGTTTATGTATATCCACATTTAATATCAAATGCTATATTTTTCCTGTTATTAACTCTACTAATAGTTTTTCACTAAAAGGCAGTGTATAAATTTTAGAACTATTATTTAATATGGGTACAAGTTAAAACTTGTGTTTTTCTGGTATACTTAAATTGACTGATTTCTCTTTCAGCTTCTGAAAATATTTCAATATACAAACTATGAAAAGAACAGAAATTATATTTTATCAACTCAAGATCGCCTTGTTGGTGGATTTGCTAAATGGCCAGACAGTCACCCAGGTAAATTAATTTACTTTCTCACCCACAAATGTGTGTGTATGTGTACATACATGTATGTGAGTGTGTAAGAGAGGAATGCATCCACATGTGTACAGGATGGAAAGAACAGCTCGTATGTTTAGTAATGGTATAAGAGGGGGTTTACAGAACAACACTGATAGGTTCCTAATCATGCAAATCAACTTGAATAACTGAACTAAATAACTTGAGGCGTTTACTTAAAAATAGTGCTTGCTGGAATATTGGTTGTATGACAAGTACTAGATAGGTTGAAAACTGTGTTATGGGCTCTCTGAACAAAAAACAAAGCAAACCAAAGTAAAACAAAAACGGCAGAAGCAAGGCAAGGTTAAGATAACTTGCTAGTAGGAGCAAGTGGCTTCTGCACAATGAATTTTCTAGGTCAAACTTTTTAATAACATTTAGTATCAACAAATATATGCCCAAGTTCATCAATGTCTTCAAATTATTCAAGACAGTGAAAATGCTTCTGTACTGAACATCTCCAAAAGGGTGTTTTCTAATTCTGTGAAAAGTCAGTAAGATAGCAACTGAGACTCCGTTTAAGGTTGTGCAAAATTATTGACACTGGGGCAAAAAAATCCTGACTTCATATATGCACTATCCACCATGAGATCACTGTGGAGAGTTCCCTGAAAATGTTGACTCATATGGTAGTGAAACAGGCAAATTTCATGTTTAGGATCCATAGGAAAGGTACTGGCATGATTGTATTTTATGGGGTAGACACTTTTGGAACATACTGCACCATTTCAGTCTCACCATCTCAAGTATGTCATCAACTGCCAGGGATCAGAAGTCTCTACAGACCATCAAAGAGGCTGTTTCACTGAGCTGGCATTTTCGGTATTAGCCACTCCCTGAGTCCCTCCACAGCTGCTTCTTCCCCCCTCCCTTAGGATAAGGGGAGAGTTGGGAACCTCATCTGTGACATCAAATTCTAGGGACTAGAAATATATTGTCAAACATTCTGTATGGATCCTGATATATTTTACATTTTTGTAAGTTTTTAATTGTGCAGATTTTGGTAGCCAAACTTAGCTGAAAATAAATACATTGAAGAGCTGGAAAAGTTGATCAAGGGATTAGGTCACCTTTTCTAAAATGAAAAGCTAAATCATTTGAGACTTTTTGATTTAGAAACAAGATGAGTAATGTATTCATGGTGTAAAAGAAATGGAAAAAGATTTTTCTTCTCATAGTGCAAAAGATGAATGCAGGACAAAGTGCTTCCTAACTAACAGAATTTTCTGTTGCAAGATGAAATTAAAGCCTTTTTGCTTAGATATCTTTAAAAGGGTCTTGCACAAATTCACAGAGGATGGGGCTAAAATTGACTATTAGTCATAACAGGTGGGAACTTCAACAACATATTGCTTTGTGGCAGTGTGCCTGCTTAGGGTGCCAACCAGTCCTGCTGTCTTTTAGGAAACTCCATACACCCAGCACATACCTGCTGAGCATGCACCATCTATGCAGGGCTGTCCTAGGGCCCTACCTTTAAAAAGGGGAGGTGTTGTACAGTAAGTCTCTGGATTACAAATGTCCCAGTTGTGAACATCCATACTTATGAACAAACTGCCATAAAGCCTACTAATTAAAACAAATCAAGTTAAAGGCAAGCAGTTCATGGTAACAAATGCGGAAATTTTTGGAGTTTTGTGGCCTACTGTGAAAATTACGATCACCATAGAGAGAGAGGAAATGAAAGGAGAGAGAGGGAAGCCTCCAAAGCATGCCTTCCTGCCCCGCCCATCCGAAGAAGGAAATCTCTCCAGCATTTCCTTGCTGCAAAGAGGAGGCATTGGTAGTGAAAGGGAGAGCAGGGAATAAGAACATAAGAATGTAATAATGAAGCAGAGGAGTCCTACTGGATCAGACCAAGGTCTGAGGTGGGGAGGGGTGGGGGGAAGCAATCCAATACATGTAGCAGTATTAAACGTTAAGGCTTGGGGGTGGGCTAGAAATGTTCACGATTTTTCCACTTTTGTAAGGAACCTGTGCCCATAACACCCGTAAATGTGGAGGGCTGACTGTGTATAGAAATCTTTCTTAGTGTTTTGTATGCATAAAAATGTAATAAATATATATATATATGCTAAGACAAACATTTGGCTTACTAATGCTAAATATAACGTATGTATGTGATCGGACTTACATACAAATTTGACTTAAAGATGTTCTCAGGAGCAGAACTTGTTCGTAACCCAGGGACTGCCTGTACTTTAGTGGCTCTTGTGGGTCATAGAATCATAGAATAGTAGAGTTGGAAGGGTCCATGAAGGCCATTGAGTCCAACCTCCTGCTGTTGCAGGACACCACGTTACACCATCCCACTCAGATGGTTGTCCAGTTTCTTTTTGAATGTCTCTAGTGTGGGAGAGCCCACCACCTCTCTAGGCAGCTGGTTCCACTGTTGCATTGCTCTGACAGTGAGGAAGCTTTTCTTGATGTCCAGCCTGAATCTGGGTTGTTGCAACTTGAACTGATTATTCTGTGTCCTACACTCTGGCATTAGCAAGAAGAGATCTTGACCTTCCTCTTTGCGACAGCTTTTGAGGTACTTATAGAGGGATATTATGTCCCTCATCAGTCTTCTCTTCTCAAGGTTCCCCCAAACTTATGATATCACCCATGCATTGGTAGATGGTGCTATTTTGGTTATATAAGGATCCATACTTATAAAATAAGTTTGCTTTTGGTATATAGGAAGCTACATTAACTATCCAGAGGTAGTTCTATCTCTGAATACCAATTGCTGGGAAATGAAAAATTGGTTTTGCTCTCATGACCTGTTTTGGGGATTCCTACAAGCATTTCTTACTGATAACACTCATTTTGGTTGTAGATATTTTACACATTTTAATTTTGTTTAACTTCTTGTTTGATGGAGAAATTGATAGAGGAGGCACCCTATCTCTATTCCATTGGGGTTAGGGCTATAATTTCAAACTGATTTAAAGATATTTATGAACCATGTAGAAAGTAGTGTAATTGGTACTTCTATAGACTCAACAAGGACAACTTACATTTTTCCTAATCCTGATAGATTATCTTAGATTTCTTTGCTTAAATCTTAAAATATTCATTTGAAATATTTTCTATAGATGATAGAAAATGCTCAAATCATTGTATATGGTTCAAAGTCTTTGAACTTTACTTTTCTGCTTTTATTTTATCATGGTCATTAAGTATTTGGAGTACTTGTGTTACCAACTATTATAAACAGTTTCTTTAAAAAAAATAATCAGGACCCTCCAAAAATGCTTGTGTTGATTTATTCTTGACTCAGAGCTTCTACAGTTTACTACAAATTACATTATTATGCCATGTGGTTTGAAAACTCCTGGATCTCCTAACAGTTACAAAGAGATATAAGTCTTATTTATGACTGTGTTATGCTAATTATGGTCAGATGCCTAGGTATTGTACATTCTCAGTATACCTTTAAGCATATATTCATAATTTGGGTGTGAAGGGCAGCTGCCCATTCCACTTTGGCCAAACCTCATTTCACATTTGGAAGTCCTATCTGGACCTGGCTCAGCATGCATAGGGTTTAACATACACAGGCTCTAAATGGTTTACCTGTTCCTTGTAAAAATGGAGGGTGCAAGTGAAACTTTTTCGATTTATATATTTTGGAATGTACAAATGTGGAGTTGGGTAAGGGGGTTCAGTTGGGTTACTGAACATGGCCCTGCTTCTGCTTGCACATAGAGGTGTATGCTTTGATAACCTTATAGGAATCCAAGTTCTTACAGGGTTTAAACTGGGGATTAGTTCTGGAATGTTCTTTCAAATGCTAGGACTTGACCCTAAAACCTGTAAACTTTGAAATTAATGTTTCTGTATTGGTATCTCCTGCTATAGAAGAGATTCTGACATTCTGACTGTCCCAGCTAGCATCTTTTCCAGACTTCTGCTATTCTACAGGAAGGTAGGATAGAATCTACCACTACTAGAGACTAGCTTCTGAATAAGTTGAGCTAGAATAATTAGAGCTAGAACAATGGAATAGCTAGTTACAGTTTTCTATTTCAGTTAGGGCTTTCTGCTATTAGTGTTTTGAACCACTGTCTTTTACACCTGCAAAGTATGGCTGACAAGAGTGCCTGCCTTCATTGATTAATCACAGCAACCATCAATTTTTTCTAGGATTAGAAGAACCTCTAGAAGCCTCAAGCATGTGCCATTAATTATATGTGAAGAGCTGACTGCTTCTAAAATGGTCCTTCTGAGTTAAATGAGGCATTAAAAACTCCTCTTTAGTTGGAAACAGTGACAGTGAAAATGCTTATTGCTTGAGACAAGTGAAAAAGAAGTCATCAGTTAACAGCTTGAGATAAGTAGAAAAGAAACGAAGCATTGCCAGTTAGTTACTTTATGTTATCACACAGTGAGGTAATATGTTTTTTAAACTTAAAATTAGACTTGAAACAACACAAGCATTAATAACAGGTAGTTGTCTGGTTTAACTTTTATCCCATGGACTCTAAAGCAAAACTGTTGTAAAGCTGTGTTAGAAAAAAAGAGGCCATATGGGATAGCCTCTTATGTTTTACTAATGGTATACTTAATGCTTTTCTGTAAATATTATTTCCTAGATCTGAGATATGGCTAACTTTTTAGGACAAATACCAAAATCCAAAGTGTCTTGTATAAGTGAAAATGCATTTTGCTGGCACGATGCTGCTCCTAGGCCATTCCAGAGAGCCTCTCAACTTTTAGGAGCAGCTTTCCAGGAACGCAGGGACTATAGTGGGGAGGAAGAGCCAGGAAGGACCTATTGCAGAAGCAGACTTCCATGTTTGCTTTTCTGGATCCAACCCATTGTGTCTTTTGGTTGACCTGCTGTAAATATTTAGTCTTGTTGGAGTGGGGAAATCAGCTTTTCAGAAGTTGTTCTGGACATACATTGTTAGCCTTGCTTTATGCAAATCCTTAAATAAAAATCAGTATCATAAAGCTGCTGTCTTACTTATCTGCTTATGTTTGGCAAGTTTCTAAGGTATTCCATTAGACTTTCCTGTGTAGTGTTCAGTGCCTGGATAATGAATACATTTTCTGGGGTCATCCAGAATTAACATAATATGCTGAGTAATCTTTCTGCTTACAGAGTAATGGGGCCTGGCTTTCATTTCGCCAGTTTGCAAACCACAACTACTATGGGTTACTTAAATCTTAGGGCTTCAAGATATGTGTCAGCCACTATTTTGGATATGCAAGTCCTGGCAGAAGGAGCACAGCAGCTTGTTGTGTTATGTGAATCCAGGTGGCAGGGGTTATTTGAGGCTTGTTCTTCAGGTTATGTGAGGGTTGCTTAACCCTCAATGAATCCATAACACCTGAGTCCACATGGCGATTGATTGCTATTCCACCTTTTTTCCTTCCAGGGATTTCAAGGCAGTTTACATAATTCTCTTCCATCTCTCAATCTTACCCTCACAACATCCTTGTGAGGTAGGTTGGGCTGAAGGTCTGTGACTGGCCTAAAGTCGCCCAGTGAGCTCCATGGCTGAATGGGAACTAGAATCTAGATCGCCTGAGACTTAGTCTCATACTCTCAACCACTACACCAAACTTGTTCTCATGACAAGCCATGGTATGCCACTGCAGCTGCCGTTTATATATTGATAATGGCAGCTGTGCACACCCTAGAGCCACTCAGATTGATTAATCTACAGTGGTTTATTGTAATGTGCAAATTGTTATACTTGGTGGGCAGTGCAGAAATTGGGTTAAATAATGTTTTGATATAGAAGCTTCTCAAGAGAATGGTAGGATTGAAAGGTAGAGACTTGCATCATGTTGATATAGAAAGTTTGCTCACAAATACAGGAGTACTAATAGCAGTCTGGACGTAGGACTATGAAGTGTTAGGTTTATCTTCTGTTAAAAAGCATTTAGTCAGAAATTGTGAAATTGGTGACATCTGTATTCTGTGTGTATATGTGCGCAATGAATATTCTAATCAGAGGAAGACAACATGGGAATTGCAAACAGAACCTTTAAAATAATGTGTTCCAAGTCTTTAGAATATAAGGCCTTGCTTTGAAAGTTCAGGTCAAACAGCTGCAGTGGCACATGATAGTGGATGGCTATTGAATATTTTTAGACAACTGCCTCTCTTGAGGAAATTTGGAAATACATTTAAACAATTTGCTTCAAGATTTATTTATTTATTTATTTAAAACATTTCTATGCCGCCCCCACCATCTTGGCATGGAGATTGAAGTCCCCAGGACCAACATCCTGGGAGCCTTCAACACCAGGTCCGAGACGATCTCCGGCAGCTCAGGCAGGGATTCTGTTGGGCAGAAGGGTGCATGGTACACCAACAGGATCCCCAATCTGTCTCGGTCGCCCAACACCAAGTGGAGGCACTCCAGCCCCGGCCTCGAGAGGACACGAAGCCCCACAAGGGAAATAGAAGCTCGATGAACCAGAGTGACTCCCCTCCCCTCCCCTCCCCTCCCCTCCAGGCATGGTCAGTGCTGCACCAGGTACCCAGGCGGGCACAATTGTGAGAGGGAAACATCCCCCCCTCACCCGCCCAGGTCTCTGTGATGCACACCAGGTCGGCCCTCTCATCCATGATCAAATCATGGATGAGTGTTGCCTTATTTTGGACCGACCTGGCATTAAGCAGCAGCACCGACTGGCCCGGAGGGCAGTTGACAAGTCTACCTGGAACCCGCCGGCTGGGGGAATAACCAGAAAGAGGGACAGGTGTTAACCATCTGTCCCTCCTTCTTCTATGCTGACCTGTTAGACCCCCAACGCCATAACGCCCATTGCCCATCACCACCCCGATAGTGGCAGCCCCGTGCTCCCCAGGCAACATCATAATAAAGCACGAGATGCACCAATTAAAAACAATCTAGAACCAACAATTAAAACCATTAAAACATCCTACTGTCCTCCATCCTTCTGTCCTCCACCGTAGACCACCACTAGCCCACAAATAAAACCAAACCAGTCCACGGCCAGAGATTGTGTGAGCTAAGCATACTGTAGGTTGGAATGCAAATGAATGTATAGAAAGAGGTCACTAGGCAGTTTAGAAGTCTCCTCTATGAAAACTGGCAATCAGATTCAGGTGCTTCCAGTACTGTGCACAATCTGTTTGCTGTCTGGTATTCACAGGATGACTTTTGTGTATTGATGACATTAAATTCTTTTCTTTCATTGGAATATTTTGTGCTATCTAACATAAGGGTTAATATAAAAAGTACGTGTAGTATGATGTGCAAAAACTGCAGAGGAATGTCAGAACCTACGTTAGTGTGCCTGGATCAGAGTCAGAATATTTTTTCTGTTACGTTATACGAACATTTATGATGGCAAATATGCATTGCTTTGTTATGTGAAAAGGAGAAAAAATGCCAACATTAGTGGAATTGCATATGTTTTCCTAAGATGGAATTCCTCAGTATTTGGTACACTTAGAGCAGTATCCAGTAGGGTCATTGCAGGAGCATCCCTTCCCAAGATTCCTTTGCACAAGTGGGATCCACTGCTTGCACAATCAACATTTAATATTTCCTGTAGGGAGCCCCCAAACCAAGTGGACATCCTTATTTCTAGATCTGGGCAAGTTGGTGGTGACCCCCCATGCAAAGTCTGCTGCATGCAAAGAATCTAATGTTTCTGTTCATTTCCACTTGCTCCATGAAGCATTAAGTCTCTTGTTGTACAAGCAGCCTTCTTGCTTGTGGTACAGAATCAGCAGAGGCATAGTGCCCAGTTGGAAACTGCCCTTGGTCTCTCCTTTCTCTTCCCCCACACTCCACTTATACCACTCCACATGTGATCTCTTATACACTTAAACTTCTATTGCTATTTTTTCAGTTAGGCAAAGGAACAAGGCTTTATTTATCATTTACACTCAGTGAAATAATTTTTGGGAGATGGCATAACAATTGGTTACTTTGTAATATATGAACTCTGACTTATTGTTTCTTCTTCCAGATGCTCTGCATGCTTACTTTGGCATCTGTGGCCTGTCATTAATGGATGAGTCTGGCATTTGCAAGGTTCATCCTGCCCTGAATGTAAGCACAAGAACTTCAGAGCGTCTTAAGCACCTTCATCAGATCTGGGCAACCAAGAACTCTAAACAGTGTTCAGAGGAAGTACACAATACCACATGACTGACTGAGTTTCCAGTTGCGCTTAGTAGCATAATTGTAGCCCCAGGTTAAAAGCCATGTATAACCAATGTGCTCTTTTTAAGTGCTGAAATCATACAATCAGATTCATGTAACTGGCATCATTTTGACAGCAAATGGCCTTTAGCCAATTCTGGATTTGGTTTAAAAAGAAATTGCTTGCCCCTGTGGATATTGTAACAGACCTGGTTTTGAAGAATCCCTTCAAAGCAAAATTAATTATTTTGTTTTATTGTATTACTTTAAAAAGTGCAATGGCTAAACATAACAAGGATCTTCAAAATGTATTTACATATTTTCATACTTAATTGCTTGAGTTTAGTGACACTTTGACACATACTTCGTATAAAATCTTATAAAGTAAGTGTTGATTGCTAAAAGGTGTTCTTTTAAAGTAGATGACAATTCTATAACCTTTATAAAATAAATAAAATTATTTTATTCATTATATACTGGACCTATGTGTTGTGATATTTTTAGCCACTTTGGCTGTTGCAAGATAGAAGAATTTGAGGTAACATTCATAATGAAATGCAATAGCCCTAACTGAAGTTTAATTATATATTAAGGCATTATATTAACTGAAAAGAAGGAAAAAACAGTATGATAATTATTGTGGCTTGCTACAAAATAATGCTTTCTGTATTCTCTTGCTTTAATACACTCCAGATTTTGGTCAATATTATATTCACTGGAAAAATGTATATTGCACTGATTCTCTAGATAGTAGTCTTCTACTGCCAAGATACTCGTCTTTGTCATTTTTACATCACTCTAGTGAAGAGAAAATGTAAAATGCAATTAGAGTGCTGGTCCGGATGCACTCTTAAAAGTGGAGTGTAATATATCCCAGTGGTCAATTCCTCAACTGTCAATAAAATTGAAACTTGCATTGGGTAAGGCACTAGTGGGTGTTACTTAGCCTCTCTTGTGTGTATATCATACAAAACTGAAATGTAACACCCTGCCTTTCTTGATCTGTCCATGTGTTGTGTGTCTCTCAGGGCTTCAAGGATTCCTTGTTGATATAACTATCTTGAGTAGCCAGCCTTGCAACCATGCACCAAAAGAGACAGAACTCTAGCTATGATACAGGTATCGCAGTCTGGGATGCCAGTTGCCTACCATCTGCAGCTTGCATTATAATGTTACAGGTCCTTCCATGTACCAGTGATTTACTTCGAATGCCTAGCCTAATTTCTAGTCTAAAAATAATAAGTGTTACAGTCACACATAACTGTTACTTCGTTCCTGTTGGCCCTGACATTTATTGGTGCTTTGGAATCTAGGTCCATGTGAGGTGCCCTCCTTGTATGTTGATCTCAAGAGTGTATGCAGACTGGAATGCAGTTGGAGATCAAGAGTTCCCACGGTTTTCTTTCTAAAAAAGGCAACACAACTCTGCTGCAGCTGTTGATCTGTTACCAAGTCTAGATTGGATGTTTCTCTTGTTTTTTATATTTGCTTTCTCTCTTTCTTCCTTGCCTTTCTCGACAGCTGCCAGAGCTTTGCTTACTACTAATGAATGAAATCTTTTTCAGTCTGAAGCAAACGGGTGGTGAAAAATCCTCCCCCATACTTGCCTGTGTGTGCGCACACATGCATGTGTCCATGCTATAAATGCTTTACTTGAACAGCAAGGGCTTCTATATACAACATTCATAAACCTTGCATCTCTTCAATGCTTGTGTAACTACATTTCAGTTCCAGCACATATAAAACATTTATAAATGGCATATTTATATGTGTGGTATATTTAATCCTTTAAAATGTAACAGTAATGTGCCTTGAAATAACTATTAAGAAATAGTTTTGTCCATATTTGCTGATAACTCAGCAATAATAACTCATATTTGCTGGTTAAAGAGACATTGGGTCAGATTTTTGTATTGCTTTGAAACGTACTAGAGGATGGAAAGGCATATCTTTGTTCTGTACCCTAATCTGCATACCTGGAAGAAAAGGTCAGGTATCGGATGCAACTGGTGGAGCACAGTCTAGGTGTGTGACTCTTTTCTCCTATTCTTTCTCTTGAAAAGGGGCATTCTGACCAGTTCTTGAATGGTGGTTATATTGAATGGTGGTAAATTTTGATTAGAACAGAAAGACGCTTTTGTGGATTGCAGAGTCCAGATCAAAATGTGAGAGCCACTGCCATAATAAGTGTGTACTATTACTTTACACTGAGAGGTGCTTTATTAACTTAAATCAAACTTTCTTTCATGCAAACAGATTGGGCTCGACCAAATCTGCCTACAGAGAGTTTAGGCTGGGTGGGTGCATGCAGTGATAGGTACATACTTGAGTGAACTCGGGTCACCACATGCCCCTAGCTTTCAGCCTGCATTTATGATCCTAAAACCTGCACTTTTTTAACCACTAACATGCCAGCCAGTATAAAAAGGCTTTAAATTGCCTGTGGAAGACATCAAAGCAATAGGTTGGATCTACACAGTCCTATTTGGAGCAGACTCATTGAAATCTTTGGGATTTGCATTAGTCTTCAGCTTAAGTACCATTTAAGTTAATAATTAGGTGTTTCCTTTAATTAGGACTAATTCTAGATGCAACCCTACGGCTGAATGGCATGTTAGCCTGTTTGAAAGAGCTGAAAATCATTGAGCCCCACTGGTCACTATATGGTGGCAGGTCTGAGTTTGGCATAATCAGCTGGAAGTTCCTGGTGATCATTTTTTACCTAACTTCTGTTTGAAAATGGCTCCTTTGTCTCAGCTATTCCCTTTTACCCAAAGATTTCAGCTTTCCTCAAGGAAATAACACACACTGGGTTTGAATGTATCATTGCTTAGCCTCCCCATTTTAGGGAGAATCTGCTGGTCCAGAAGTTCTGTGTCTCACTTTCCATCAGTAACTATGTTCCTGTGGAACCTTTCTTGTTGCATACCAGGATGCTTGCCCCCACACCCATTGATTCCAATTTTATTTTTTTTTTTAACTGGGAGATTGCCATATTGCCCTTCATTGGAGTGCAAAATCTTTTAAGTTCATGCAATTTTGTATTTTGGAGCTCAGAACCCTACCTCTATCCTGCTGTTGGGTTAGTCAGTCTTCCATTAGATTCATCAGCTTGCCTTCTGAGAAACTACTACTTCAGGA